TAAGACGGGGTTTCACCATGTTAGGCTGGTCTTGAACTCCCAACCTCAGGTGATCCACCCGCCTTGGCCTCCAAAGTGCTTGGATTACAGGCGTGAGCCACCACGCTCTGAAAGATGTTTTTGCCTCTAGGTTTGTGCTTCTCAGCAGCTGTCTCAGAATCTCTGTCTCCAAGCATCTCTCTTAGGGGCTCTCCACTTTCATCGCTCTGTGATCCTATCTGGCATCTCTCTTCCTATCTCGGCCTCAACATGTTTCTCTTTACATGACTCTCTCTCTGTATCTCAGACTTCTCATCTTTGGATCTCCTTGTCTGAGTGTCCCAGAATCTGGTTCTGTCCATTCGTCTGTCCCTATACTGTAATTCTATTTCTCCAACTGAACTGTGCCCTCCTGGAAGGCATGAATCTTTTATTATTCCCTAGGTATCCCTGGTGCCCTGCACACAGTCTAGCATATAGGAGTCTCAAATGCATTCATACTTGAAGGCTTTTTCAGAGGAGAAAGGCACCCATTCTGAATATCCACGCCTCTTCCCCCACGCGGAGCGGGCCACTTGCCAAAAGGCCAGCTAGAGAGTAGGGCGAGTGTGTTGTGGTATTGTACTGCTGCTATTGGTCTTTTTCCCCAGTTGAAATAACTCTCTGGGTATACCTTAACAGGTGGAATTCGCCCTCTAGCCAAGGCACAAAAGTACCAGGCCACGCCCCTACGTCTCACGCGACAGACGTCCCGTCCCGTCGCCCAGCGGTTTCGCCTCGGCCAATCAGCGAGCACCTGCGCTTCCAGCCAGTGGAGAGGCGGACGCAAAGATGGCTGCAGCGTGTCGGAGCGTGAAGGTAGAAGGTTCTTTTCCTCTGTTGCTTGCCCTTCTTCACCGGGCGGAACAGCGTGGCCGTGGAACTAGGAGAAAGAGATCGGTTTCGGAGGAAAGGGTTATGTTTATGTAGGCCTGGCATTGTGGCGGCTGGGCTCAAGAGATGAAAGTCAGCACTCCACGGCATATATATATATATATACCTGGGGTTACGGGACGGGCTGTCTGGGGATGAGATCCCCCCTGCCCTCGGGGTCCCAACGGTGAGGCGAAGCAGCACACCTGGTGTACCCGCAGGGGTGATCACTACCACTCTCCTCTCCCCTTCTCCGCAGAAGCCTGGAGAACAGGCAGGTGACAGCGTGGGGGTGGTCTGGGCGATGTAGCAGCCGACGCTGACTCTTTTGACACAGGGCCTGGTGGCGGTAGTAACTGGAGGAGCCTCGGGCCTGGGCCTGGCCACCGCGGAGCGACTAGTGGGGCAGGGAGCCTCTGCTGTGCTTCTGGACCTGCCCAACTCAGGTGGGGAGGCCCAGGCAAAGAAGTTAGGAAACAGCTGCGTTTTCGCCCCAGCCGACGTAAGTGGGGTCACCTCTCCTCTCCCAGAGTGTGGGTCACCAGCACTGGCCTGGGAACCTGTGGGGGGGTCCCTCCTATAAGGGTCTCCTCTATGAGGGCAGTGGATCCATCTCCTTGTCTCTTTTGGCCCAAGCCTTCAAGCATTGTGGGACCACCCGTGATAAGGATTCTCTAAAGCTGTGATTCACAACAATGGGGATGGGGATTGGACATAATCCCAGGAGGGTTTATGCGTAGTTTGAAAATGCATATAGTGCCCTGTAATTTTATGTTTACAAAGTCAAAAAACTTCTTTTCATGAAACAAACTACAGAAAGTAAAACTTGATGAAATCAGATTGGCAGGTAGGGATACAAAAAAGTTTATCTTCCTATTAATGATTGTCACAACAGGGTTATTTTTTATTTTTATTTGAGATGGAGTCTCACTCTGTCGCTCACGCTGGAGTGCAGTGGTGCAATGTCAGCTCACTGCAACCTCCACCTTCTGAGTTCGATTTTCCTGCCTCAGGCTTGCGAGTAGCTGGAATTACAGGTGCCTGCCACCACGCCCAGCTAATTTTTTTTTGTATTTTTAGAAGACACGGGGTTTCACCATGTTGGCTAGGCTGGTCTCAAACTCCTCACCTCAGGTGATCGGACTGCCTCCTCGGCCTCCCAAAGTGCTGGGATTACAGGTGTGAGCCACTGTGCCTGGCCTTACAACAGGGTTGTATTAGTGCTCTGATCCGTAGCAATTGAGAATCTCCAGGAGCATGTGAACTTATCAAGAGGGTATTGATTTGAAGAATGTTTTGCAGCTCTGCTCTATGTTACATAACATTTTCACCTTTGACCTACTTTTTTTTTGAGACAGAGTCTCACTGTTGCCCAGGCTGGAGTGCAATGGCACAATCTCGGCTCAGTGCAACCTCTGCCTCCTGGGTTCAAGCAATTCTTCTGCCTCAGCCTCCCAAGTAGCTGGGATTACAGGCATGTGCCACCATGGCCGGCTAATTTTGTATTTTTACTAAAGATGAGGTTTTGCCATGTTGGCCAGGCTGGTCTTGAACTCCTGATCTCAAGTGATCCACCCGCCTCGGCCTCCCAAAATGCTGGGATTACAGGCATGAGCCACCGCGCCCAGCCTACTCTCTCAAGTTTTACCTCAATCTTTTCTCTTGGCCTCTCCCTTGTTCTTATAACTTACTTCTCACCAAGGACAGGGCATGCCCTGCCCTGCCCTGCCCTCCCTCAGGTTTAGTGGGAGTGTGTGTGCTGGGAGATGAATACCTTCTCCACTTCTCCCTTTAAAGGTGACCTCTGAGAAGGATGTGCAAACAGCTCTGGCTTTAGCAAAAGAAAAGTTTGGCCGTGTGGATGTAGCTGTCAACTGTGCAGGCATCGCAGTGGCTATCAAGACATACAACTTAAAGAAAAGCCAGGCCCATACCTTGGAAGACTTCCAGCGAGTTCTTAATGTAAGGCCTTGTAAGTTCTCCAGGGATAGTGGGAGTAAGAGGTATCTGGCTGTGAAGTACCCCAAAGTTTTTAGGGAACAAAAGCTTCTTCTGCCTCAGGTCCTATACCATGTCTCCACATGTCCTACAGGTGAATCTCATGGGCACCTTCAATGTGATCCGCCTGGTGGCTGCTGAGATGGGCCAGAATGAACCAGACCAGGGAGGCCAACGTGGGGTCATCATTAACACTGCCAGTGTGGCTGCCTTCGAGGGTCAGGTGTGTGGGCAGGGGTATGACATATGCCTCCTCAGTGACTTGTTGGGGGGCCCTCCCACCTATGAGCTCTACTCTTTCTCCAGGTTGGACAAGCTGCATACTCTGCTTCTAAGGGGGGAATAGTGGGCATGACACTGCCCATTGCTCGGGATCTGGCTCCCATAGGCATCCGGGTGATGACCATTGCTCCAGGTAGACATATCCCCTCTCTCCATCACAACTGGGATTGGGTGGGATCCATGGGCAGTTGAGAGGGGAAGGTATCCATTACCTAAGCAACAGCAGCCTTTTATCTTTGGGCCCCAGGGAAGCACCAAGAAGCAGGGCTAAAGTGAGGAAGGACCAGGTAAATATGAAAGCAAGGGTGAGTCTCTGAATTTGGTTATCTTTTTTAGGTCTGTTTGGCACCCCACTGCTGATCACCCTCCCAGAGAAGGTACGCAACTTCTTGGCCAGCCAAGTACCCTTTCCTAACCGACTGGGTGACCCTGCTGAGTATGCTCATCTGGTACAGGCCATCATCGAGAACCCATTCCTCAATGGAGAGGTTATCCGGCTGGATGGGGCCATTCGTATGCAGCCTTGAAGGGAGAAGGCAGAGAGAACACACACTCCTCTGCCCTTCCTTCCCCTGGGGTACTACTCTCCAGCTTGGGAGGAAGCCCAGTAGCTGCCCATCAGTTGCCCTCTGTGCCTAATAAAGTCTCTTTTTCTCACAGATTGTAGGCAGTGTTGTGTGCTAGGGGCCCTGGCATGGGGAAGAAACGTGAAGGCTGTGACAGGGTTGTATGCTCAGAGCTCCAGGGTGGAAGGGGGAAAGGGAGTACCTTCACACTTTTTGTGTCCTGTTACAACACGTGGACTTGATTTTGAGTGAAGAAGTTTATTACCTAGGTTAGAAGGTGGGTGTATGCAGCATTTTTCTCTTTGACTCCTGACCACTTGTGAGCTTGATGGACGAAAAGGGAGAGATAAACATCCTGAACTTAGCGGCTGCTGGTGTTAAACTGTTGGTGATACTGGGCTGTAGGTTGATTGGTGTAGATTACTGAGTTCAGGTAATCCTGCCTGTGAAAGAAGTCCAGAGGCCTCAGCTGACATGTTTTCCTTCTCTCCCTCCCTTGGTATTTATCTCCACCACCACCACCTATAACTCACTGGGCTTTTTGCTCCTGAGCCAGCTGCTGGTTGAAGGAGCCTAGACCCCTCTGAAACTGAGCACACAATTCCCTCTCCTGCTCTTCTAGCTCCAGCATTGCCTGGGCCGTGCTCATGGTCTGGCTTTTCCATTCAGTATCCAGTGCTTTTTCAGCCTGACGTTGTGCTTCCTTCTCAAAGCGTTGTACTTCCTGCTCTTTCCTGATGGCAGCTCGCTGCTCTGGAGTCATGCCCTTCCAGCAATAGGGCAGGACCCGGTGGGGAGCTGTACGGTGTTGGGCGACCTGGGGGTTCTCAGTCAGTAGGTCACTCGTGCTCTGGTTCTTGATCTCCGCAAGATTGGCCTTCTGTTCACGCTGACGCTCACAGCGCTGACGCCCAGACTGTGCAGCTGCCTTGGGGAGCCCCCAAATACAAGCATTTGGGTGCCCAACCTTAGGGAACTCTGTCACAGGGGAGGGGGAACATGGCCCTACTCTTCCATCTCAAGGAAAGAACAGATATGACTGCATGGCCTTTCAGTGACCCTAATGCATGTGTGGGGGAGAATGGGCAGGGAACTTCTCTGCCTTCAGGAAACCTTTAGACTGAGCTGAGGATGAGAGGGCAATGTTCTGTTCTCAAGTCATCTTGCTTCTGGAGGTGGGGAGAGGTGACTTGTGCCCTAAGAGGGGCCTTCGATGAAGGGGGAGTACTCAGATGCGAGGGCTGGTGCTGATTTGAGAGGGTATATAAGAGGAAGAATGTGGCTAAGGTTCCCCAGACTTTGTTCAGGAGTTGGGGAGGGCCTACGGTACTGGATGGCCCAGGCCATACCTGCGCTTTGTTGGCGTTGGCCATGGCACACATCATGGCCACGCGACAGGACTCCTTCAGCCTGGCCAGATGGGTGGCCTGTGCGTCCATGGCGAGGCGCAGCTGGTCACTGAGCGCATCTACACAGAAATATGGCCAGGGTACTGTACTGGCTTGCTCCATTACTGTTTCACTTATCCAGCCATTTGTTCAGCAAATTTTGTGTTTGTGTGTGTATGTATGTTTAGGAGGGGGGTAGTGTCTGAGTTGTAGGGATGTGGAAGGAACAAGGGATGTGGAAGTAGTTCCTTCCACATCCCTTGGCTAGGAATAGCCAAGGTACAGCAACAAGGATTTCTCAAGTACATAACTAAAAGATGCCTCCAATGGACCTGGGTCCCAATGTCCGCTCTGCTGCTTCTGAGCTATATAGTTTTCGGTAAATCATTTCATATCTCTGAATCTCAGTCTAAGGGCCATGTGTTGGGTTCCAAGGATACCACTGAATTAAATCCTGTCCCCAGAGAGCTCCCTGTCTAGCTGGGGACACAGATCAAGCATAGATAATAAGACCAAAATCTGGCAAGAGCAATGGTAGGGATGTGTATAGGGTATTAGGAGGGTTTTGGGTGGTGGAAGAGAAGAAGGCTTCCAGGAAGAGGTGATCCTTGAAATACATTTTGTATACAGGCTAAAAAAGCAAAGGGCATTTCAGGTTGAGGGCATGGCATGAGCAAACGTACTGACAATTTTTTTCTGCTCCAGCCACACTGAGCTCCTTGCTGTTTCTAAGACCTGACAGACACTATACTAAGCAACTGGGAGATGGGTGGACATGAAAGAGATGGTTCATCTTCAGTAGGCTGAGATTTTAGGGAGAAGACATATTAAATACTTTTTTTTTCCCCGAGACAGAGTCTTGCTCTGTCTCCCAGGCTGGAGTGCAATGGCGTGATCTCAGCTTACTGCAACCTCCACCTCCTGGGTTCAAGCAATTCTCCTGCCTCAGCCTCTCGAACAGCAGGGACTACAGGTGCATGCCACTGGACCAACTAGTTTCTGTATTTTTAGTAGAGACAGCATTTCACCAGGATGGTCTTGATCTCTTGACCTTGTGATCCACCCACCTTGGCCTCCCAAAGTGCTGGGATTACCAGCATGAGCCACTGCACCTGGCCTAAACAAATACTTTCACAATTAGCTACAACTACAGTAAGTGGTCCAACAGAGTGCTGTCATAGGGTTGTAATTAGGTCTGTGCACTATGCTGCTTCCAGGTAATAGAGCACCAAGCTAATCAAGAACAATGCTACACTGTCATTACTAAAGGAAGTCAGGGAGGTTGGGGTCTGCACAACCTAACATTTCAGCACCAACCCTATGGATAATTGGACCTCCCCACACAGTTCTGGCTCCTGGGTGCTGTACTCAGCTTAGGACAGATCCCCACTAGGCCTCAGGTCTCTGAGTCTGGAGGGCTGGGCTGCTTACCTGCATAATTCTCATCAACCTTGGCTTGCTGTTGCTCCTGCTGCTGCCTTTCCAAGCCGTACCTGAACTGCCTCTGCTGCATTCTCAGGTGTGTGACCCTGTCTAGGTCTTCCCCAGAGAAGTACTGCAGGCCGGATGGACCGTGATAGGTATTATTGTAACTAAGATAGGTCGGAAGCCCCTTCCAGACTTGGTCTGGATCCCAAAGACTAAATTCACGCCCGTTCTTGAGCTGCTGCTTCTGCTCCCGAAAATCCTGGACTTTCTTGGCCAGCCGACGTGTTCGTTCTGCCTCTTCCTTCTCTAACATCTGGACTACCACATCATACTGCACCTGGCTGGTACCTGGGGGTGGTGAGCAAGGATATGGAAAAGATACCCCAGGAGGGACAGAGTCTACTTAGCATGGCCTCTGCTCTCAAGATCCACCTGGTTTGTCCCGCCACCCCAGGGCCTCAGACTACACTCACAGGCAGAACTGCCCTACTTCAGCCCACTCCAGCTCTTTCTTTACACCCTTGTCTGGCCCCTGGCTTTGCGCTTTTACCATAGGCTGCCTCCTTGCTTTTTTCTGCTGCTTCCCGACGCTTTCGCTCTGCCACCTGGCTGTTTAGGGCCTGGACATCCACCTGATCCCAAAGAAAGGAGCACAATCAGAGTAGGGGCCCAGCAGGGGGCCTTTAATGCCCTACCACAAACTTAGAATTTACATGTTTCAAAATCCTCCTGTAGCTCTCCAGTACCTACTGGATAAAGTTCTAGCTCCTGAGCATGATTTGTAAGCCTCTCCATGGTCTAGCCTCTGCCTCCTTCTCTGGCCTCATCTCTTAGTACCCTCCTCCCCTGTGCCACGCTTACCCTTGTGAGCTGTGCTTACAGTTCCCTGCATATCTTAGGCTGTTTTGAACCAATAGCCTTTGCTCAAGCTGCTCCCTCCACTTGGAACACTTTCCTCCTCTCTTTATACAAACTCCAATTTGTCCTTCAAGACCAGCTCAGGCTTCACCTTCCTGACTCCTCAGGCAGGCTCTACTCTCATAGAATCTAGAACCCACTGTCTACATTATAGTGAAGTTCGCCTCTCTCTATCCTCTCCTGCGCCAGACTGTGAGCCCTTTCAGGGCAGAAACTGGGCCTTAGTCAGTTTTGTATCCCCACTGCCCAAAACAGTGCTTGGCACAGAGCAGGCCCCAAGGAAATGCTTGTCAGCTGGATCTCAATCAGACTGCTCATACTTTAGCCAACTACTTATGGCAGGCACCATGCACTGGTTTTCAGAGCTACCACTGTGTATTAATACTCACCTCACTTCCTTCAGACTCATTTTACACAAGAGGAGCCTGGGGCTCAGAGAAGACAGGTGATTTATCCAAAGCCACACATGCAACAGTCAGCAGACCTGGCCTTGAATAGTGCAGAGTTTTTTCCAGAATACCATGCTGCATCCCCCATCTATCCACTCACCTAGCAATCTTTTGTTTCTTAAACTATCAATATTTTCTCTTTATTTTGATTATAATTCATTCATTACATTTCAAAATCATACAAAAAGGAAAAAAAATCATACACAAAGGAATACAGTTTAGTGAGGAGTAAGTATTCCTTCCATCTCTGTCTCTCAGCCTGGTTAACAGTTTCTTACAAAGCCTTACAGAGATAGTTTAGGTATATGCAGCAATTTTGAGACAGGATCTCACTCTGTCACCCAGACTGGAGTGCAATAGTGCGATCTCAACTCACTGCAACCTCCTCCTGGATTCAAGTGATTCTCGTGTCTCAGCCTTCCAAGTAGCTGGGATTACAGGCATGCACCACCACACCCAGCTAATTTTTGTATTTTCAGTAGAGAAAGGGTTTCACCGTGTTGGCCAGGCTGGTCTCAAACTCCTGACCTCATGTGATCTGCCTGCCTTGGCCTCCCAAAGTGCTGGGATTACAGGTGTGAGCCACTGCACCCAGCCTCCAAATATTCTTTAGGCCTCTTTTAGCTCAATGTTGCCTGTCTCTAGAACCAGGTCACATGGCCCAGAGCTGACTGGAGAAGGGTCAGCTCTCTCCCCTAGTCTCTTCCCCTGCACTGACCCATCCCTCTTTCTAAGCCCTTCCCAGGCCTGTAGGGGTGGGCCCCTTCTCTCCCTCTCCTTCCTTTCCCACCCTAGGAGCCTGCCTTGGATCAGGGAAAGGGCTCTCATGGGCACTGCTACACATTCCTCTCCAGGTGTAAGAGTGAGGTGGCCCAATCCTGAGCAACAGTCCCTACTACACTCACCCCCATGACTCGGTGCCGCACATTGAAGAATCGGTTTTGTCGCTCTTTTTCTCGATTTCTTTTAGCCTCAATGGCTGCTGCTTCCCTGAGATCTGTTGACTGGTTTATGCTATACATCTGAAGCAAAAGGGAGGTAGAATGGCCCATCAGTGCTGACCACCATCTTTGACTACACACCACCCCCATTCCTTTCTCCTTATAATATTTCAGCCATTATTGATTCCTACTGATTTTACTTCGTGATATATTTCTAACTGTGTTCTCCATCTCTGCTGCCACCAGCTTAACTCAGGCCTCACAATCTGGTGTCAGGCAGTATCTCAGGAGCCTCACTGGGCTCTCTTGCTCCAATGTTACCCTTTCTGCACTGGATTTCTCTGCACTGGCTACCAGAGTGATCTTTGTGAAAGCAAATCTGACCATGGTAATCCTCAGCATAAAGCCTTTGAAAGCACCTTTAAAGCAAATGGCTCCCCAGTGCTTACAAGATAAGGTCCAACCCCCTTTGCCAGATTTATAAGGTTCTTCATGATCTGACCCCTTCTCACCTTCCTAAGCCTCAAACACATCTATAACACTCCTTTTTCATTGTACTCTATGTAGTTTTCCTTATTTCTTTCTTTCTTTCTTTTTTTTAAGAGACAGGGTCTCGCTATGTTGCCCAGGCTGGAGTGCAGTGGCTATTCACAGGTGCAATCCCACTACTAATCAGCACAAGAGTTTTGACCTGCTCCATTTCTGACCTGGGCTGGTTCACCCCTCCTTAGGCAACCTGGTGGTCCCCCGCTCCTGGGAGGTCACCATATTGATGCCGAACTTAGTGCGGACACCCGATCGGCATAGCGCACTACAGCCCAGAACTCCTGGGCTCAAGCAATCCTCCCACCTCAGCCTCCCGAGTAGCTGGGACTACAGGCACGCGCCACCGCGCCTGGCAGTTTTCCTTATTTCAATAAATGGCACCACTATTCACCAAGTTGCTCAGGCCAAAAACCTAGGAGACATCCTTTAATCCTTCCTTTTCCTCACTCCCTCTTTCAAAATAACCCTGGTCTAAGCCACCTTCCTGAATAATCACAACCATCTCCACAGTGGTCTTCCAGCTTCCTATTGACTCCTATAGCCCAATCACAGAAAGCAGAAGCAGCTTTCTTTTCTGAAATATATGTCCCCCCTTATATTTATTTTTATTACCTATTTTCTGGTCAAATGAAAAGCTAGAAAGCTTAAATTTGCCTGTGTTCCTTCATATTTTGGGAAGCTCACTTTTGGCATGTAACCCAGCCAAAGCTGCAGCCAAAATCTTTAGCAAACATAAATCTGATCATGTCTCTCACCTGCTTAAATCCTCCACTAGTTTCCCACTGTACTTAGAATCAGATCCAAACTCCTTACTGTGAGCTTTCAAGATCTGGTTCCTGCATACCTCTCCAATTTGTCTCCAACCACCGTCTCTCTTGCTTACAGTGCTCCAGGCACACCGATCAAGTCCTCCAACACAGTAACTGTTCCCATGCCAGGGCCTTTGTATACGCTGTTCGTTTGTTTGGAGCAGGATTCTTTAATTCCTCCTATAGCTACTTTGGATCTTTTTGGTGTTTTCTATTTTGTAATTGTGAAGTAGTTGATACATACAGGAGAACATATATAACCCATATATGTAAGTTAGGATGCATGATAACATAGAGATCTGTGAACCAACTCCCCAGCTAAGAAACAGACGTTATTGATACCACTGAAGTGTCCTGGGTCTTTTCCCCATCATCCTTACTCCAAGAGCACTCCACACACTATCTAAAATGTGTTACCATTCCCTCTCTCTCTCTCACATACTATGTTACCCAGGCTGGTCTTGAACTCCTGGGCTCAAGTGATCCTCTTGCCTCACCCTCCTAAAAGTGCCGAGATTACAGGTGTGAGCTACTGTGTCTGGCCTGACAAGAACATTTTTGATGGCGTTCTGGAGATGAAACCCTGATTGAGGTGGACTCAAGAGAGACTAGGACTGCAGGACAAACAACTCAGTTAATTTTTTTTTTACAAGAGAAAAAGACAGAAGGACTTATCAATTTTTAAAGATTTATATATACAGAGTGGGAACGTTTCTCTAGTATAGACCTAGGAGTGGAAGTGCTGGATCATAGGGTATTGTGCATATTTAACTTTACAAGATAGTGCTACGTTGTTTTCCAAAGAGATTGTAATTTACACTTTTGCAATAGTGTATAAAAATTCTAGTCATTCCACATTCGCACCAACACTTGGTATAACAGACTTTTACATTTTTGGCAACTTGTGGGTATAAAATTATAATTACTTGTTTTATTGAAATTTTCCTTATTGATAATAAAGTTCATGTGTTTTTGACCATTTTTGTTTAATTCTCTTTGGAGTGCCCATTCATATCTGCTCATTTTAAAAAATCAGGCTAACCTTTTTTTTTTTTTGAGACAGGGTCTCCCTCTGTCACCCAGGTTGGAATGCAGTGGCACGATGTTGGCTTACTGCAACCTCCACCTCCTGGGCTCAAGTGATCCTCCCACCTCAGCCTACCAAGTAGCTGAGACTACAGGTGTGACTAATTTTTGTATTTTTTTGTAGAGACAGGGTTTCTCCATGTTACCCAGGCTGGTCTTGAACTCTTGAGCTCAAGCAATCCTCCCACCTCAGCCTCCCAAATTGCTGAGATTACAGGTGTAACCCCGTGACCCCCATGCCCAGCCAGGTTGTCCTTTTAAAATTAATTGTAGGAGTTCCTTTAATATTCTACATATTAACCATTTCTTCATTTAAGTGTGGCAAATATCTTCTCCGGATTTGTGACTTGTTGATTTTTTTTTTTTTTTTTTT